TCAGGTTCAGCAGGCCTTGAGCCTGCTGTGAGCAGGGAAGCCTCTGAGGCCCTGGAGAAACAGATCAAAGAGGAAGGACAGAAAGGCAAGGCTATGTGACGGGATATGTAAGCTGGTGTAGAACAAGGGAACATGGTAGTAGAAGTCCTGGAAGCCAATCCAACCTGGGCGCTGCGGTGTAGGGACTAGCAGGGAGGAAGTTCTTTTAATTTCACAGTATCTAGGGCTCCCTTTCTAGAGCTCCCATGAAGAGACTGCGCCTTGGGGAGATAACATTTATAAGAATCAAGACTGACCACATGTCTCTGTTTATCCTATCTTCTCACCTGTAACCAAGGCATTAAATGATCAACTGCTGACCTTTCTTTATCTGATTCTGTTCTCCAACTCTGCAAAGGAGTAATAGTTTCGATTCTAGGAGACAACCCATGAAACCTCCACTCCATTCCATTCTAGACTGGACCCTACAAACAGCCTTGAGCCCCAACCCAACAGAGCATTTACAGTACAATCTAAAATCGAACAAAAGGCTATCTTCTGTTGTTTACTTTCCATTCTACCTTTACTAATGGTATCTACCTAGGTACCCTATTTGACTCTAGATATCCTATTTGGTCCTAACTCATGACCTTGGGGCAAAGGGAGGAAACAAGATATCAGGAACTTAGCAGAATCAGGATAAGAAGCTCCCCCCCCCCCTAAAAAAAGGCCAAACAGAAGTCACAAAATTCACGTAGTAAAAGTTTTGCGTTTAACTTATAGGTACTTATTCAGAGGCAATTATTCTTGTTTTACACAGATTTCTAACAAGCTTGGTTATCTGATATCCTAGTTAAGGCTAGAAATTAGAGACTCTTAGAAGCAAACATTAAGGAGAAACAACAGTTTTAAAAAGAAGAAACAGAGATAAATGAAAAACAGACATGAGTATTAAAACCCATACCAGTCTGGAATCATTTATGGTAGGAGAAAATAAATATATACACCTTAATAAGCACTAACAAAGTCACTGAGTTGCACCATAACTAAATCATTTTCATGATCCATCTGAGTCATGAAAGTTAAAGTCCTATTTCTGAGGGGCACACGGAAGAAGCAGAGGCATAATATAATACATTTTAAAGAGATTCCTACCTACAATTAGTAAATTGGAGAATCTTTTCATCTTGAAAGAGGGTTTACAAATCCTCAGAGATCCAGAATGCTCTGCTAATAGCTAAATAGCTAAATGCCTATGCTTTCCTATACTCGGTCTTGCCTCCCAAAGAGCCCTTTAGGTTCAGTTATGGGTCTTCTGTTTTTTGGGTTTTTGTTTGTTTTTGTTTTTGGTTTTTTTCTCTGCTGGTGTTGTTTTCTGATCTCCTCCTGGCCCGCCAGCCCCATTCCACCATTCCTTTCCAATTCTGGCAACCTGCTTGAGAGGAGATTCTTGGAGGAATTCTTGGGTGTCTCAGCTCACAGGGATACAGTACTAGGAAGAAGAAGCCCGCTGGGAACCCACAGCCCATGCTTCTGAGAAGACAAGGAAGCCTCAGAAGAAAGAGCCTGGGCTCTGCAGTCAGACCATGTTCAAAGGCTTCTCTACCATGTTCTAGCTGTGAGGGCTTGTGGGGAAGCTTCTTCATCTCTCTAGACCTTCCCTGTAAAATGGGAATAAAAATATTCCCTGCCTCCTAATTGTTTTGAGGAATAAAGGAGATAAGAGGCATAAAGCAGTTAGCCTGTCTGGTAAACGCACAAGAAACAGCAGTTATGTTCAGTAGAGGGCCCCCTTCCTTCTGCTTCTCAGAGACCCTGAAACACATCTATCTACCACTTATCTGGCCCAAAGTCATGTACGTTGTTTCCTGAGTTAGGTCTTGCCATCTCAGTTACATTATAAATTTCTTCAGTGCCGGAAACATCTCTGATACTATTTGTTTTGCTCAGGGCACTTAGCACAATCCTCTGAGTTCAGAATAAGCTGTTAGATAGAATGGAGACTACGTCAGGCATGCTCACACCAACCACATCTATGTAGAGTGGTCTCCTTCAGTGCTGTACTTTAGGAGGGAGTTTATTAAATTAGGGAGTGTCCATGGGAGGATAACCAGAATTAGGAGAGCTCTGGAAACGAAGTCAGATGGTTGAGCGCCTGGAGTTATTTCATCTAGATCAGGGGTCCACAAACAGTTGGTGGACCGAATCTTCCTACAGGCTGATGTCTGTTGTACGGCCAGTGAGCTAAGAAGAGCTTTTACATGGTTAAAGTGTTGTACAATTAAACAGAGTAGAATATGCCTAAGAGACAACATATGGCTTCCAGAGTCCAACATATTTACTATGTGGCTCTTGACAGGAAAAGTTTACTAACCTCTGATCCAGAAAAGAAGAATTTGGGGAGGGAGAATAAATAAGTTTCATCAAGATTCATTTCACGCATTCTTCCTTCGTATTTGTCATAAGCACCAATGATGTGCAAGGGACGAGGCTCAGTGCTATGGGGAGCACAGGGTAGGAGATTCTTTCCTGAGGTTTGGTGTTAAGGTCATTACAATTTCAATAAATCTCTGTCCTCAAGGAGTTTATAAGCTAGTGGGGCCAGAAAGATTGTTAAGGTGTGTCTTGAAGAAGGATCATATTAATTCTATGGTAGTTCAAAGAAGAAAATTAGATTAGACACTACTGAAGATTAACTAGTTCCGATTAAGAATCAAAGTTAGGGGCGCCTGGGTGGCTCAGTTGGTTAAGTGTCCGACTTCGGCTCAGATCATGATCCTACAGTCTGTGGGTTCGAGCCCCGCATCAGGTTCTGTGCTGACAGCCTGGAGCCTGCTTCAGATTCTGTCTCCCTCTCTCTCTGACCCCCCCCCACTCGCTTTCGTCTCTGTCTCTCAAAATAAAGACATAAAAAATTTAAAAAAAAAGAAAAAAAGAATCGAAGTTAATGTTTAGATGATTCAAGAAAGCTAATTTCATTGTAATACAAAGAAAGGCTTAAAATAAGGGGGCTGTTTTTTTTAATTGAATGAACTACTCTGGGAGGTGGTGAGCCACCCATCTTTTTCAAAACCATGCAGGAAGCATCCTTGTTATGGGTCTCCCCTGGGTTTGGGCATCGTGGACCAGAACAGAGAACTGGGTAAAAGCCTTCCTATGGTTTAGAGGCAAACTGAGGTGTGAGCGTAAACCAAGCATCAGTGGCCCAAGTGTCCCAGCGGACTCTGACTTCCCTTTAATATTCAAATTCCTTATCTTGGACCCCATCGACTTTCCAAGGAAGCTCCGTCTCCTGAGCTTTCTCTGGGGGCCCACATCCTTCCCAGTCACCTCTTGCTATGTTCTCCTAATGACCACTGACTCCTTTTCTGCAGCTCTGTGTCTCCCTGTGCTCCAGCTGCTATAGTTTTGTGTCACCATAGCCAGCCAAGGACCTATTCCTTCATTTCCCGCAGAGCATACCAGCACCAGGCTAGTGTGTTTATCAAAGGTTTGTGAGCATGGAGCCAGATTACAGCCCAGCCCGGAAGAGGCGATGGCATAAGCCTGGAATACCAGACATTGCTGTGCTAAGCATGCATAGGCCACACTGTAAGGAGTTGCTCCTTGTTGGGTCTTTTCCATCCTAAGGCACCACTGCTTCTCTGATGGTCCAGTCACTTCCCCTTCTCTCTCTCTACTCCTTCTGGGCTCTGGGTTCCCACAGCCTATGCCTCTTGGGCCCATCAAATACAAAGTTCCAACGTATTTTACCATGCTCAGAAATTCAACTTCTTATCTGGCCCTGCACATCCAAAGCCTGTCCAGGGGTCCGGGTTATGTTCACCCAGAGACTCGTTAAGGCATTTTCTTAACAACCGAGCTAGAGGTGCTGTCCCACTAAAAGGTACTGGTTGTGGGTCCTTTGGGGTCTTTCGCCTCCCAAGTCAGGAAGAAGCAGACTTCCCAACTAAGCTTAAAGGCCTTTTCTTTTGCATCTAGAAGGAAAGGATTGGTCCCCAGTGGGTTCCAGAGTACGGGTGCTAAGAAGTTCACCTTGGTCCAGCCCTGTTCAGTGGCATCTCACTCTCCCAAGATGCACGCCCCTTTCTCTTTAACAAAGTCAGGGGCCATGGAGACTAAAAATCATAGATAATGTGTTTTTATTTCTTAGCTGAGGAGGGAATAGAATGTTCTCATTAGAGAGAGAAGTCAAAACCCAGAAAAATAGGAAATTCTGCCCTGGCAACTTGGAGCATTTTCTTTTGGAGGGTGGTGTTTTTGTTCTTCTTTCCATACCTTCACACTTTGGGTTCTCCACACTTGGGACCATTTAGTTAGATCGGGCAACGTCAAGGAGAGAGGGAGGCCAGGCCCCCTGAGGGTGAGCTGAGTAGCCGCCCAGCCCTGAAAGTGAGCCCAGGCCCTCTTGCCCAGGGTCTAGAGGAAATCAGGCAGTGAAACCATACGGAGTGGAATCTGTTCCTCCTTCTTTATTTGTTTTTGTAAGACTCTGAGCCCGAGTTTATCTGCTGCAGTTTGGCCCTCCTTGCCCTAAGCCTTTGGAGACAAAGACTCAGAGAAGGAAGAAGAGGAAGACAAGTGAACAAGGAGGCCCAGGAGGTGGAGCCAAAGGAATAAGGAAAAGATGTCCAGACGTGGTTTATCCGTCAAACGGGAAGGCTGCGGAAGACTTGCATTTGCAAAGGTCGGGCCAGCTGGACTGGCCCTACGAGGGGGACCACTGGGGACCACTGAATTAGTCAGAGGTCCCCAAGCCTGCTCCTCCTTGGTCGCCATGTGGCAGAGAGTCAAAGGGTGGAGTCCTCTCTCCTCTGGAAAATATCTGATAAAATTCTTTTCCCTTTTCTTTTTTCCCCTCTTACACGTAGCCCCAGACAGGATATGGGTGTGGGGTCAGCATGCACGAAGGAAGAAGAGGAATGTGAAGGGGCGGGCCTTGGGGGAGGTGTCCTTACAGAGAGAGGAAGGATATAGGCCATGGAGGGCTTGGAGGGGACAGATACTCCTGAGCCTCACAAATGGGGTTTCCTAATAACCTGAACGGTGTCTCTTCCCTGCTGGTGGCATGGCGATGCTCCCTGGCGGCTCACTCTGACTCTGGTCACCACCCAAAGCAGCCTCATCTGCAGCAAAAAGAGTCTACTTTTGGTCGGCCGCTGCGCCCATCCTTAGGCCGACTTCTCACAGAGAACAGAAGGACCTTCCCAGAGCAAAGCTTGCCGTCAGCGTAGATGATGAGAAAATCACAGAGCACCTGTGCCCTAAATGTTGCAGTGATAGCCTGGAACTCCTGCAACGTCCCTCGGTTAGCATTTCAAGGTACAGTCACTCACTCATCTATCCCACAATATAGACCAGGACAGAAGATGGCTCCCAGGATTAAAGAAATAAGCCTTAGAATGTTCTCAGGCAAGACAAAAAGCTACACATTGGCTCAAGTAGTCTGGCAAGATTGAGAATCGGGACCCATGTCCCAGCTGTCACCCCCAAAGCTGAGACACTGAGATTCTCAGCAAGTCTGTCCCAGATTTTGCAGGAGTTAAGTCGCTGGCCCCCACCCCCTGCTATAGGCCAAGGCGAGACTGAGACTGGCCAGCTGAGGAAATAAAGAAAGGGTGGGCCTCACTCGGCTCAGGCCCAGGTCATCAGGAGCTGTGGAAGGGAGAGCAGAGCATCTCATCAGTTGTTGATCAGCTCGACTCTGTTGTGAGGGCTCCGGCTAGCACCCAGGGGAGTTCCCCATTCTAGGGCTTCGACAAGGAAGTGACAGCTTTTTCTCTGCCCTAGACAGTAGGTCTGGGGCCGCCAAACTGGTCAATCCAGAGCCTAACTTAGAGCTTTCCAAGCCCGGAGTCTCTCTCTAACTGGGTGGGCCCAAAGGGGGACAGCAGAGGACACTGAGAGCAAGGGGCCTTGCTGGCAGGCGCACGTCACTCCGTGCGGCCATGGTGGGGGGCCTTTGGGTTAGAGTAGGAAACTGGGGGCCCTAGAGGGTTGGAAGCAGAATATTGAGCAAAGGAGAGAACAACTTACAATGTTTAAAACCTTGTAAAGGCAATGAGATGAGATAGACAATGCACCCCCCAAATGAAAGCGATTAAGAATAAATACTCATTGCCTATTATTTCTTTACAAAAGTGAGAGCAAGATCCTAAGAAGTAGGGGCAAGTGTGGGTGAGTGGAGGGGTGTCCACAAGCCTGCTAACCTATTCTAGTTCTAGAACTTGGAGGGGGAGAGGGCGCCCGGGTGGCTCAGTTGGTTAAGCCTCCGACTTTGGCTCAGGTCATGATCTCACGGCTCATGGGTTCGAGCCCCGCGACGGGTTCTGTGCTGACTGCCAGCCAGCTCAGAGCCTGGAGTCTGTTTCAGATTCTGTATCTCCCTCTTTCTCTGACCCTCCCCTGCTCATGCTCGCTCTCTCTCTCAGAAATAAATAAAACAGTAAAANTGTTTCAGATTCTGTATCTCCCTCTTTCTCTGACCCTCCCCTGCTCATGCTCGCTCTCTCTCTCAGAAATAAATAAAACAGTAAAAAAAAAAAAAAAAAAAAAAAAGAACTTGGAGGGAGAAGGGGAAGAAAGCCCCCCAATGTAACAGGTTGGAGTTGGTGCCAGGGTCCGGGGGTGGCGAAGGGGAGAGGGAGGCTGGGCGCACAACAGGCTCCGACCACTACACCTTCGCTCCAGTGGAATGGGTGTGGGTGTCGAAGAGGGAGTTGCAGTTTAGCTTTCAGATCTTAAGTGCAAGCATTCTTTCACAGACTGTTCTTCCTTCCACACTTCCTGGTCACCTAACTCAGCCTGCCCCGGGGGCCTCCCGGGCGTCGGAGCTGGGGCCTCCTCTGAGGCTGGTCTCCCTCCCATTTTGAAATTCGGGCTTGCCTAAGGCTGGTGGTTGGCGGGCCCCTGCGCTCTCTTCCCAGCAACCTCACCCGCCTGGGCTTTTCTGAATCAACCCCCAGGCGCAAAACTTTTCCTGCCTCTCTCCTCCCCTCTCCTGGCTCCGGCTCCATCCAGCTTTGCGCTCCGGACCTCTGGCCGCTCAACAGACTCTGGCATCTTCGAAGCGCTCTACGTTAGGGACAATTCAAATGAGTCGCGCTGTTCGACTCCGGGACGCTCGGAGAGCTCCTCCGGTTTACACCTGGGCTGGGTGACACTCGCGGCGGGGTCGCCCGCCGTGCCTCCCCGTCCACCCCACCGCTTTCCAGGTGGCGCGCGGGTCCCGGAGGGCCCCGGTACCCCCCAACACCGGGAGCCGCCGTGGGCGTGGGGCGTGGGTTGGGGCAGGGGGCCCTTCCGTACGCGCCCTCCCCGGGCTCGGCGCGCTCGGCTCCGGGAAGGCGGGGACCCTCCCCGCCGCCCGGGCGCGCGGCCGGTACTCACGCAGCAGACTGAGCAGGCAGAGCGCGGTCCAGCCCCGCGGCATCCCGCGCCCCGCGCGCGCGCCCCTGCCGACCAGCATCCTTCCCGCGCCGCTCCGCAGAGATGCGCACAGCCCGAGACGCGCTCGGCCCGCGGGACGCGCTGCCCCCGCCCTCCGCCCGGGAGCGGGGTGGGCGATCGCGCCTTTTCCCCTCCCCTCCCTCTTTATTCCTGGCAAGGCCGGCCCCTCTCCTTGGCCGCCACTACCGTGAGCTTCCCCGCTTGGTCCCAAAGGCGGAGGACGTTAGCAGGGGCTGGGGTTGCCGCCGTGGAGGCCAAAAAAGGTGGAGGTTTGTGCGGGCCCCAGATGCCTTGTTCAAGTTTATATAGAGGCCCGTCTTACTCCTTCCACTTAACTTTTAACCCCTTTGTGTCAGCCTGGCCGGTGGCTGGGGGCAAGTTTCCTCTGAGTGTGTGTGTGTGTGTGTGTGTGTGTGTGTGTGCGTGCGTGCTTTCTTTCCTTTTTGTTTTCCTTTATTTTTAACTTTTCAGCTGAGAACCATCTTGCCAAAGGACTCTACTGTGAGGACCCGAGTTTACAAATGTGAGCATTTTGCTAATCAGGTAAATCGTAGCCCGTGTCCAATCTGATGCATTTAATGACAGTCACACCAGAGACTGTGCTGCATGTTAATGAAGCATAAAGAGTGAACGGGACACATAAATAACCGCAATTATTCAGCTTACCCGTCCAAACCATCCTTGTTGATTTTCTTTTCACTTTTTCCCCCTGCAAGATCTGTCTATTTGTGTTGCTTTGGAGGGGTTTTCCTGCGACCGTTCCTAATCTTCCACATGGTTTGAGCCTGTCACCACCATCATAAAGACAAAGGACTCTCCTGGAGCTGGGACACCCTCTCTCCTGTCACCCCCTCTCCAGCTCTGGGTTTGAGACTCTACAGGCTTTATCTGGCTCTTTCATCAGGAAAAGGGCTTCCCCTGACCCCACCCTCTACCACCTGTCTGATCCTGGAGCTCCCTATTGCTCTCTAGTTGTGCTAGATGTTGGTAATCCGAACTGCAGAAACCCTGAGCTGGGCAGCCAGTCTTGTGGCAGATGGGACTGGATGGGGGAGGAAGACGCCAGAGGAGAGAGGGGCTGGGAGGCGGAGATGAGGACGCCGGGGAGCAGATACGGGAAGGCACAGTCTGGGAACATGCTCTGAGATGAAGGGAATCACAGGGTTGCTAATACTCAGTCCAGTCTCTCCCATGATATGCATCCTGTACAGCCCAAGTTGGGAGGAAGGAAGAGTCAGACCAGCCGCCTCTGATCTTTCCTGATTTATTTGTCTGCAGACTCCCGAGCATCATGAAAGCAGACTTATCTTTACAGTCCTCCTCCGATCTACTAACTTTTGGTTGGTACAGGAGAGAGACGTGGACCCAGGTCTAGAAACAAAACCCAGAGTTCTCTGTTTTGATCTTATTGGCTAACTTTCCTTTAAATAGGAAACAACCCCTTTCATCGCATAATAAAACCAAAGGCTTAATATGCAAATTTGATAGGACACAATGGTATTGGGACTCCCAATAAATAGAGAGAAGAGATTGGCCCCTCTCCCAACCCCTCTCTCAACTTCCCCTCAACATTCTCAGCTGAGACTGTGTCTACTTCACACCCAATCAGAGGTCGTGAACAAAATGTGGAGTTATAATCCTTGCTAGAGAGGAAAACCAGTGTGGTCAATGTGGATATTCCTTCATTCTTAGTAGGTTCTTCTGGTTACTTCAAATGCCATTTATCTGCCCTAGCCGGGCCACAGAAGATAGGAAAGAATTTGTCTCTAGCACTTGAATTTCTTAACTAGCTTTGGAGCAGAGCTTCTCAAAGCATGGTTTACACAGAATCAAGGTTAAGGTGTGGGAATCTGCAGTTTACATAGGAACTACCCATAATTCTTTTTTTTGTTTGTTTTTCTTTTCAAATTTGTATTTAAATTCTAGTTAGTTAATGTACAGTGCAATATTGGTTTCAGCAGTAGAGTTCAGTGATTCACCATTTACATAAAACACCCAGTGCTCATCATCACAAATGCCCTCCTTAATGCCCATCACCACCTGGCCCATCCTCCCCCTCACTTCCCCCAGTTGTTTCTCTATCCTTAAGGGTCTCCTGTGGTTTGTTTCCCTCCCCCCCCCATATGTTCATCTGTTTTGTTTCTTAAATTCCACATAGGAGTAAAATCATATGGTACTTGTTTTTCTCTGACTTGTTTCACTTAGCATAATACATTCTAGCTCCATCCACATTGTTGCAACTGGCAATAATTCATCCTTTTTGATGGTTGAGTAATATTCCATTATATATATATATACCTATATAACATATATATATATGACATATATATGATATATCTTCCTTCCTCATCCATTTATCAGTTGATGAACATTTGGGCTCTCTCCATAGTTTGACTATTGTTGGTCATAAACATGCTATAAACATTGGGGTGCGTGTACCAGTTCGAATCTGTGTATTTGTATCCTTTGATTTTCTGTGATTCTTATGCACACTAAGTTCTAGAAGCCCTAGTTTAGAAAGAAGACCTGCTCCATGCAAAGTGGATGGCCTACTTCAGAGAGGAAAAATAGGAGTACAGGGATGGGAGGCTGACATCCCTTCCTCTGAGAAGCCAGATCTGTTCTCCTTCGGTCTGTACCACAACTATGACACTGGGTAATAACTGGCTACCCTTCCTATTTTCCAAGGTCCTTGAGACTCACCACTTCACACGCACACAAGCTTGCCCCAACCACCCACAAATTCAGGTTCAGGCAGGCCACTGGACACAAGTCCATCATGGGCACCAGCATTATGTTTCCTTACAGTCAGAGAGAGGTGAGCTACCAAGTGTCTTCAAAGCTCTAGCTTTTCTTGGTTGCCCCTTGGTGTCTCTGCCCCCCACTTCATCACATAAACTGGTGCCAGAAGAAGATGTTACCTGCATTGCATATAGTAGAGGCTCCAATAGAAAGATCCAGAGTGAGAGGCTCTGTCAGACCCTTTATAAACCTCTAGGTTATGACCACCCCATGATGTCATATGATGTAGAACATCATCCCACCCCAGCCCCAACCCATCCATGTCATATCAATCAATTTAAAATTGCCCCTCATCCCATGTTAAATAGACTTCTTTGATATAAAACAATAATGGAAAAGATTTTTAAAAGTTTTTTAGTTTTAAAGTATATTCTTCATTTGGTTCTTGTAATTCAGACTTAATTACATTTATATAAAAGTGTTAGAGTTGACTTGTGGGTTACAAGTTGCCAGAGTTTACCTTTTATGGACAGTTAATAAAACTTTTGTTCACTTTGATTTTCCAATTTCATATTTTGTAAATAAGACCTTTTTCCCAAGTTGCAAACTTGTTGTGGCTCTTTGAAAACTCTCAGGGTTTAAACCCCTGTTTGGTAGGGAGGGAGCCTTGGTGACAGAGGTGTTCAGAGGCTACAGGGAGGCAGTGAGCACTTAAAGTCAGAAGGGAGTCCCTTCTTTCCTCCTCTTACCCCCTAATCTCTCTTCAGTGCATCCTCTTGACAGAACCCAGCTAGAAAGCCACTGAAAAGGGGGTCTGGGAAATGTGGCATGGAGATTCCTGGCTCCAATGTCCTGTGGGAAATTAGGCCCAGGTAGTGGTAGCCTCCAAGTACACCATAGGCAGGCTGTAGAGGCCACAGACCAGGAAGGCTCAGGCTAAACTATGGTGATCAGATCACAAAGGTTATTGAATCTATGTAAAACACAGTCAGAAACAAGAGGAAAGAGTTGGGATACATTAACCTGCTTGGGATAGGAAGCAAGCAGGGTGAGTGGACCCTACTCTCTTGTGTTCTACTCTGAAAGCATAGTTATGAGGACAAGAATTGAGGGGAAGTAAAAGAGAAGTAGATAGCAGATTGATGGGAAACAATGTTGCAGCCAGTTGGTTTGCAACCAATGCTGGCCACAGGTCTGCTCACACAGCTAGTCCATGTTCTGTCCCCCCCACCCCCCACTTTTTTTTTTTTTTTTCATTTCTGGGGAATACAGGAACCAGAATGGTGTCACCAATAGGTAGACAGTTTATGTAGATAATGACCTGGCTGTGAACCCTGAGGTGGTAGGCTCTATACCCTGCGATTTATGATTTAATGTTTCTATTCCTTTCTACCTGTAAGTAATACTCTTGTTTGTTCCATTCTTCTTAAAATATACTCCTTTTCTTTTTGTTTTTTAATGTTTATTTTTGAGAGAGACACACACACACACACACATACAGAATGTGAGCGGGGGAAGGGGCAGAGAGAGGGAGACACAGAATCCAAAGCAGGCTCCAGGCTCTGAGCTGTCAGCACAGAGCCCAATGCGGGGCTTGAACTCACAAACTACGAGATCACGACCTGAGCCAAAGTCAGAAGCTTGCCCAATGAGCCACCCAGGCGCCCCCCATTTCTTTTATTTTTATACTTCTTTGCATATTACAAACTTGCTACCTATTTTTAGCATGTCTGAATTCTGCCTATGTCTCACAAGACTTGCTTACGTTTTATCTGTAGATTTATCTGTAGAGCTGATGAATTTTGCCCATCTTCTTTGCTTTCCTTGACCTCTGTAGAAGAATTGAATGGTCTCCCATAATGGAGCAAACACACACTATACATATCCAGCATTTAGAGAAGAATATAGTAATATAGGGTTGGAACTAAGAGATTCAGGGTAAATAACTGGCACTAATCCAGTGTCATGTATTTTTCATACAGATAACCACTTTCCCGGCTCTGTTTACTCTCCTTTCCATGCTGATCTGAATTGCCATTCTGTCATATGCCAACATTTCATGTCAATATGGGCCAGTTCCTGGACTCTATCCATTGGTCACCATACGTATCCCAGTGCCTTTACCACTGCCTGATTTACTGCAGCTTTGAGGAGGGCCTGATATGGGTAGTGAGACTCTAATTCGCCTTAGAAAAGTGGCCTAGCTATTCTCTGCTCTTTACTCTTCCACCTGCATTAGAATCTGCTTATCAGGTTCTCTCCTGAAATAGCCCTTTGGATTTTGATCAGACCTTCTCTGTAGATTAATTTGGAGAGGACCAAATCTTTCCTTCTGTGAATTTGGCATAGCTCTCCATTGTTTGGGTCTTCCTTAAAGTTTATGACTTTTCCTGTTGTGGTTTAATGCATCTTTTGTTAGATTTATTCCTGGGGGATTGATGTCCTCTAATGCTATTATAAATAATATCTTCTTTTTAATTATTTTTGTTGCGGGCATGTGAAAATACAATTCATTGTCTTATATTAATCTTCTATTGAGTTATCTTGTGAAATTCTCCTACTATTCAGTGTTTGGAGATTCTTTGGGTTTTCCATGTAAATGATCATATCAACTGGATATAGTGATAATTTCATTTTTTTCTTTCCAAACCTTCTCCCTCTGAATTAATGTTTTAAAGTTAACATACCGGCAAGAACATCCACTACAAGGAGTAAAGATGTGTTACCTTATACATGCTGGCCTCATTTCAGATCTTAAAGGCTAATATTCTAATGTTTCCCCACTTAGGACTATATATGCTTAATTTTTTATATGTGCTTTGTATCATGCAAAACTCATTTTCTTGTATTCCTCATTTACCAAAAGATTTCTGTCTTTAATAATGAACTTACTACTTTTTATTTAAATGTCTTATCTAGATCTACTGAAATGATATATGGTTTTGCTCTTTTAATATGGTAGTAGAGTAAATTACATTTATAGATTTTCTAACATTAAGCCAACTTTGCATTAAACCCAACTTTGACATGGCTTATTATCATTTTTATACACTGTAGAATTTAATTTGTGAATCCAATCTTCTATTTATGATTTTTGCTTCTGTATTCATAAATGAAATGAGCCTGTAGTTTTTCCTTCATCACTCTGTCATTGTTTGATTTTGGTATTGGGGTGATAAAGTTCTTCTAAAATGAGTTGGAGAGTATTTCTTCTCTTTTTCCTTTCCTTTTTTCTATTCTCAGGAAGAGTTTTTATAAGATTGGGATGATTACTTCCTTAAAGATTTGTTAGAACTTGCCTGTGAAATCACTTGAGCCTGGTATTTAGTGTGAGACTATTTTCAAATACTGTTTCCATTAGTTGTTATGAGTTCTCAGCTTAAAAAAATGTCTTCTTGAGGAAGTGTTATTATTTTCCTAGGCAATTATATATTTCTCAAAGTCTTCCAGTTGTTACTGATAAAATTCCTTTTGTCTCATTAATCTCTGCTTTATCTGGAGTATGTTCCCTTTTTAATCTGTATCATTACTTGTTTGTGAATAACGTGTGTCTTCATTTGTTACAAATATTTAAGTTTACAGAAGTTTTCAAATTACTTCTGGATGTATATGTATATATACATAAGTGAAAATGCACACGTACATAACTCTAAGTAGGTTGGACAATATTCTGATGTTGATAAAAGATCCCTTGGTTGCGTTTGGAGGGGTGGGGCTATTGCTCAGAAGGGAGTGAGCTTGGGCTGACCACCCAAGGCAGGCGCCCGCGGTCATCTGTTGGCATCTTTCACAGGCCCCTTAGGATATCATTAAAGGCAAAAATGTAATGATGATTAGAAAAGAAGCATAACATGTAATGTCTCATTCCCCCCTCCCCTCCAAGCATTGGCCTCGGGCAACCATCTCAATTTTTGCTCCTAAGGGACAAGCTTCTGAATCAGAGAGAAAGGATGTAGCATTTCGGCTAGACTTGCACACAGTCCACAGCTTTTCTGTGCATTGCTGCAGCTATTAGGAGCTGGTGATCTGTAAGTGGAGATAAAATCATGTCACAGTGCGACGCTGTTTTATTGCGGGAAGGGGGAAAGGTCAGCGTGTGAAGTGATAACATGCATCCCATGCATACACAACGATTGTCTCTGGCGGTGAAGTTATGGGTGAATATCACTTTCTTCTCCATGTCTGTAGGCAGGCTGTACATTTGGTTTCTACAATAGCCGTCTATGCGTTACCTTTACAAACAAATATAATAAGCAAAGCAATTTTCCTTCTGAGAAGGTGAAAGGTGTGGCAATGATGAACTATTATAGTTCTTTCCTTTAGCTATGTCAGGACCTGGATTGTCTATGGATTGTCTGGATAGCAGCCTTGTGATCACCGAATGAAGCTTGGCTGAAGGGTGAACATGTCTGTGGTGAGGACAGCTTGGGTAAGGATCCGTTAAGTCTTGGGAAGAAGCTCTCTGAGAATGGGTCAGACATCCATTGTTTGTGAATATGAGTGTGTCTGCACTTCTGGTATTGTCTCTGCTCATTTCCCTTGTGTTTTTTTTTTAGGCTTTCAATGAATCTTCCTGATCATGCACGCCTATCTCAGTATTGCTCATGAACGCTACTGGATCGTATTTATGTTTCTATTAAAGCCAGAGTATGAGAGGGGGTCCAGACTACCCCAGGGGTCAGGGTGTAATTGATTCAAGAAAATTGTACGGAGGAAGAATTTATGGAGAAACAAAAGTGGAGCTACTTGGCAAAACTGAAACTACTTCTTCACTTGGGAAACTCTGTGGGGTGCTACCTGAAGGTAGGTGTGGGGAACCACTCTCAAGGGGCTGGATTATCTCGCATCCAATGCTGCATCTATTTCCTGGACCAATAGGCTTTAAAATCTAGGGACCCATCAATCTTCATCTCTGGAAATCCAAATGGAGAGCATTAATAACATACATCTTACGGAAGCCAAAGCAAAGAGGGTAACTATTTTTAACTTAGGGCAGGAAAATGTGGCTCGAAAGGAAACATCTGTCCCAAGCTATTGACTCTTATGCTTTGTGTAGAGGTCTTTTCTGTCTTGAAACCATCAAAAATAAAATAAGGTGGTGGGTGCAGGCCTGGTTCTGGAAGAAAACGGCAAAGTATTCCTCTCTTCTCACTTCTCTGGCTTCTCATCTTCTGAGTTGGGCCTGGGGCCTGGAAGAGACCACCTTGGAGGCAGAGGGTGGGCACAGCCCACTTCCAGTGAACTTGGGGGACCCCTCCTAGCTTAGCATCTTCATCCAAGATGAACCCTTTAGGGTTCAAAATTTGCAGATGCACCACTTGGGGGGGTCACCAGAGGCCTCGTGCTCGGAGAGGATCTCTGAGTGCCAGAATACTTTCCTTGGCAGTTCTGGCTGCTGCTTTCTGAGCAGTCGTTCTTTCTTCCAGGGGCAGCAAGAAAGTTCCCTTCCCTCCAAAACATGCCAGCCTCCTCCTGTGTGTCTGGCTGGGGAAAAAAGGGGGGACAACTGTGAACCTGTGAAGGTTCAGAGACATCTTTTTGTCTCCATAGAAGCATTTTTCATCATTTTGGAACATACAGAGCAAGGCTGAATTGACTCATCAGAGGCTCTGGATGGATTACCTGATGAAGGAGGCAGGGTCGAAGTAAACAGTGCTCAGGCTGTGCACTGCACAACCCAGCAGCACCAGCCACACACACTTGGGGGATGCAAGTAGCTCTCCCTGGAGTGGCTGGAAATAGGGAAGAGGAGGAGGAGTAAGGCAAAGTGTGTAGCTGGTTGAGGGGCTCTCAATCTTTGTCTTGGAAAACTGACTGGTATAGTTCTGTGTTCTTTCTCTCATTTGTCCCTCTCCTCTCCCCTCCTTCTCTCTCTCCCTCTCTCTCTATCTCTTCGTCTCTCTTTCTCTCCCTGTTTCTCTTTTCCTTCTCTCTCTCTCTGCGTCTCTCAACTCCTTTCTGTTTTCAGCCAAAGATTGAACCAGGAGAGAGACGCTTTTTGTTTTCCAGATTGAGTAGAGAGCTGCCAGGAGAAACAACCAGGGAAGAAGAATACAAGAGCTTGCAAAGATCTGCTCCTTGCCTCTCCTGGTGCACTCCTAGCAGAGCAATGTCAGAGCAGCAGGGCTTGGAGGGTGTGAAACAGGGTTGCCAAATTGCATGAGTCTCTAAAAAGATCCATATGTCTAGGCCGCACCAAACTTCTGAGCTCAGGGAGGGGGCTGATAACATCATCTACTGGATGGAAGTACAGTTCTCTTCCTTTAGGGAGGTTTCCAAGTCAGCCAGCCTGGATATGCAGGACTTTTAGTGATCCATGTTTGGAAGTTTGGGGTGCAAGTGCTTGGGGGTGCAGAGGAAGGAAGAGGGACAGGGAGTGTAGTGAGCAGGAAAGAGGAAGTCTCTACACTGGAGTCTATGAACCATTTAGGAAGAAAGGAGTTTGGAAGCCCCAGGACATTGAGTTTCCTTTCCATTTTTTTTTCCACGCCAGGAGAGAGTTTTGGGGGAGCCACTGTGCAGATGGACTCCAGGCCATTTGCCTACTTCGTGGGAAGTCTAGACTCATTCCTATAACTCACCCTTCCAGAGCCAAAGAAAAGTCATTGTCTTTCCCTCACTTCTCTAACCCCCAAACTGTAGCTTCCTCTGGGGTGGAGGGTAGCAGATGGTATACAGCTGTGGGACACATCTGGCTTTGCAGGGATCAGAGGAAGGCACAAAGGCCAGTTGAAATCCCAAGGGCAACCCTGGAGGCATGTCTCAAAAGATGGGGTGGTGCCCCTGACACTCTACTCAGATCCCATCTTGGACGGGCCTCATGTTTTTCCTAGTCTTCCACGCCTTCACTCCACTCCTGCTTCAACCGGATTAGATGATGATTTTGTGAGAGTGGCCAGGCAGCTGCTTCCCAGATGTGGGTTTTCTCTAGAGATGGCCATATCCAAACTGGGGAGCTCTGGGAGGACTGCTTGGGGACAGCAGGGACAGGGCCTGGCAGATTCCTCTGAGGAGGTATTGACCTAGAGGAGCGAGCACAGTGACCATCTGGAGACCCCGCAGTAAAGCCAGAGGATTAGAACTGAAGATGGAGAAGGCAGGTCCTGGAGTGTTCTCAGCTCTGGTATCCAAAACTCTGTGTCCAAACATATGACTTTATTGAATTTGCCAAATAATCTGACTCATTGTGTGTGTGTGTGTGTGTGTGTGTGTGTATGTGTGTGTGTGTGTGTGTGTGTTTGCTTACAAGGAGAACATAATCTTTTTATTTTTTTTTTATTTTTTTTATTTCTAGGAGAGAGAGAGAGAGACAGCGTGAGCAGGGGAGGGTCAGAGAGAGAGAGGGAGTCACAGACTGAAACAGGCTCCAGGCTCTGAGCTGGCAGTCAGCACAGAGCCCGACGCGGGGCTCGAACCCACGAACTGCTAGTTCATGACCTAAGCGAAAGTCGGACACTTAACCGACTAAGCCACCCAGGCGCCCCTAGGAGAACATAATCTTGAGAACAGTCTATCACTTCTCTATCTCCTGCATTTCTCACTTGGAATACCAGTGGCCTTCGATCGGGTCTCCCTGTGGCCACTCTTGGTTTCCCCTACTCATTCTTCACACAGCAGGCAGAGATAATATGTTTAAAATTAAGATGGGGCCATTTCATCCCCCTGCTGAAAATGCTCCAATGACTTCCCATTGCTCTAAAATAAAAGCCAAACCCCTCATGGTAGCCAATCATTTCTGAAGGGGCTGGGCTCTCCCCTGACTGCCAGCCCTCCTCTCTGAGTGGGACCCCTGGCACACTGTCCCCAACACTGGCTGTCTCCTAGAGCTTGCCAAGTTCTCGTCCAACCTCAGATCTCTGCCGGAGCTGTCCCTCTGACCGCTCCTCTTCCCTTTGCTTTCTGTAAAATGCCTCCTCATCTTCTGGTCTTCCATGACCACCCCGTGGAAACTAAGTCCCCCCTGCCCAGTCCCTTCTGTTCTCTCTTACATCCTCCTTCCTCTCAAAAACTCATTTGTAGCTCGCATCACATTTTCCAGCCACACATTTACTTGTTTGTCCCTTGTCACCCGTATCTGGCTGTAAGCAACATGAGGGCAGAAGCCATGTGTTTTTTGTGCCCTGGCACAATGCAGGCCAGCAGCAAACCCCCTGAAGATGTATGGAATGAATGAATGAACTGTGGCTTTATTTTCTTGCCAGCACTCTCTGCTTTACTGGTTCACATATATATGTTCCCTCCGCACATCAGTAAATGATGTTTTAGTGTTAGGGGCTGACATAGGACTGTAATGTGCTAGTATAGTCATTTCATAAAAATGAAGCCATTTTTTTTCACAACGTCAAGTTAAGAAGAGTGTAAACTCAAAAGAATGCCCTTTCTACAAAAGTACAATTGGTGATCTTATCCTATTTTTCTTCATTTTCCTGAGGACCTAGGAGGATGTGGTCACCGATAGCCCATGCTTTCTGACTGGCACTTGGAAACCTTAGCCTGACCTTACAGCAGCCGTAACCGATCACCCAACCCTGCACTGGTTAGAGTTCTGGGTCAGACCCTGAGTACAGGTGGGCCTGGACGAATCGCTCCCCGCTCTGGAGCTCAGCTTTCATCTGTGGAGTGATCGGGTTCCATGAAGGAACTGAGAGGGCTGCTGAAGCGCTCCCACTGTACCCACACACTGACCCCCGTAAGAGGGGGGCCGAGACAGATTTGCTGCTGAGGGGACTGAGGGGGTACCCAAATCTGAGCCATAGTTGCTGTTGGGTTGTGGGGCGGGGTGGCCATTTCCTTGTGTGAGGGGCAGCCAAAGGAAGGGGGCGGAGCTGCCAAAGTGGGTGGCCAGTTCCTGTCTCTGACCCTTGGGGCAATGTGTGCAGCTCCTGCCAGGCTCCCACACCTTGGCTAAGAATAGCTCAGCTCCTTCCTGCTGGCCTGCAGTCCCCCGGAGCCCAGAGAAAAGAGAACTGGGCTCTCTGACTTCAGGCTGGGCTGTCCATTCCGGCGATTCTCTCCTCCGCCGGGGGATCAAAGGGCCGCCGGGGACTGCTGTTCTGGTCTCTGACGCTACCGCCTAATAATAGCCGGGCGGTGTGCAAAGAAGGGTGGTGTTTTCAGGCTACTGCTGAGGGGTGGTGGGAAGCTGGAGGCCTTGAGACTGAAAACTAAGGCTTCTGGATGCCCCGTGTTGGGAGGATGTGTCCTGGGGGAGGCGAAGGTTCTCAGTGGTCTTTAAGGGGAGCTAATGTTCCAGCAGGGTGTCAGGCTAAGGCCCTGGGGAAAAGGAAGCTTCCGCTTCTGACTGAGTAGGATCAAGGCGGGGGCCTGGGCAGCTCCGTCGCTGACTGCGGCAGGTGACCTGGAGACCATACTTAAAGAAATAGCCAGCAATGGGTGATGTGGCAGTCCAGAAGGCAGATCCCTGCAAGAGAGACTGGTCCTGGTCGGGCTCCCGAGGTAACTTCAGGGCATCACAGGCCCCGGTGACCAGGGTGACCATCTAATCTATCATCCAAACAGAGACGTTTTTGACAGTGAAGGAGGATGTTGTTGATAACTATGCCAGGATAGAAAGCATAAACAGAGTCTGTCCTGGGCAAACCAGGACATCTGGTGGCTCTAACTGCTAACTATTGCTCTGTGGCCATGTTCTCTTAGATTTCTCAATAGGAAGAGATGAGATATAATAGAATAAAAAAAAAAGAAAAAAGAAAAAAAAAAGAAAAAGAAAAAGAAAAGAAATGGAGGGACCACAGAAATCATGCCCAAGCACGTTGGTGTTTCATGGATCGTGATCTTCCTAAATCGGGTGGGGTTTAATTATGGCCACAGAGGAGTTGGGCTCCAGAGCTGGGAAGGAAAGAACAGTTCTTAGAAAGTTCCATTGCTTGGCTGAGGTTGGGGGCTGCCTGCATGGAGAGATAAGCCGCGCTGACAACCCAAGAACAGCTTCGTGCCTTGGTTTTCTGCAGCTGAAATCCTGGGCTTGTAACAAATGCCAGAGAAAAGCCTTGCACCTTCTCTTATTGCAAAATCTCATCAGCCTCCAGTTAACTGTCCACAATCTATTCAGATCACTTGAACAAACAGGTCTATTGTTGATTCATTAATGAGCACGTAAGGAATAGATCATATGTTACGTGCCAGCTTCCGTGTTAATTTCTGGAGACATGATAACAGACAGGGCAATGGTCCCAACTCTTAGGGAACTCTCAGTCTTTCAGAGGAAACAGAGGGCTAAACAATTCGGGCAGGGATGGAGCAATGTGGCTTTGGTGGGGAAATGTGTTCCCGAGCCTCATTTTCAGAATCACAGAAGAGTTTCACGACCTCCCTGTAAGCAGATGACAGTTGTCCATGTGGCAGAGCCCTTGCTGATAATGATGATGAAAATGACTGTGAGGCATTTTGGAGTAGTTGTCAGGAGCATGGGGGGCTTGGAACCCATCAGACCTGGATGCGGATTCTGGCTCTGCTAACCCCCCAAATTGTGCACCTTCAGCAAGTTTCTGCAGGCAGATGGTAACAGTGCCTACTTCATAAAGCAGTGAAGCAGTGTGTTAACGCTTTAATGGGCACATGAATCGCCTGAGGATCTTGTTAAAAATGCAGATTCTGATTCGGGAGGTCTGGGCTGCGGCCCAAAATTCTGCATTCTTAACAAGCTCCCAGGTGATGTTGATACTGCCGGTCTGAGGACCACCCTTTGATTGAAAGGGCATAGAATCTTAAAAGATCAAAGAAGTGCTGAGCATGGTGCTGATAAGTGGTAAGTTAAGTACTCAGTAAATGTGCTCTATTACTGTTTGAATGAAATACTAACATGTTTATTTATTGTTGTTTAAGTATCTCCCCATATATGACTTATCATCATTCAAAATAAAATTTCTTAAGTCAGGGATGTTTCCCTGTTACATTTCTTGGGTATCACAAGATGCCAGTTTTTTTTTTTTTTTTTTTTTTTGTCATGGTTCATAGCAATGGGAAAATTCCAGAAGATGGGAATGGGAGGTTTAGAATTTGTTTCTAATACCACTCCACACCCTCCTGTCGTGAGGGGTGATGGGGACCCATTGAAATGTCACATGTCTCCTGCATCTAACTTTGGGTACTGTGAAGGTATCACTCCCTAATCCAATACCAGCCGCAAGGAGAGAAACAGGGGTTCAGATATCACAAACATAAGTCTTGATATTTTCATAAACCTTGGTGGTTTTAAGATGTCCCAAACTTGTTGAGACTCCTCCCTACCACTGAGAGGCGGGCTCTATGCTCCTGCCCCTCACATCGGATCTGGCTTGACTGCTTTGGTTAATGGAGGACCGTGTCGGTGCTGCTGGGACACTTCAGAGGCTAGAGCAGAAGAGCCCTGCAGTGTTCTCCTTTTGCTCTGGGAATGCCTGCTCCCCTGACAGGCTCCCTCTCCCAGAGCCCCACCCCTGCCACGCTGTCTGGAGAGACCTCTTCCAGGAGCTCTGCCTGAGGACCCCAGCTGAGCCCAGCCTTTCCGCTTCTGATCAGGCACCAGGCATATCAGTGAAGGGAAGCATCCAGCCATCCCTCTTTCCCCAGCTGAGGCACCGCAGTAGTAGAGCAGAAACAAACCCTCCTGCCGAGCCCTGACCCATGGAATTATCCAACCTGATGACATCCTTGTTGTTTGATGTCAATATGCTCTGGCGGGGGGGTGGGGGGATTTGTGACTCAGCACGAAGTAATTCAGACATACAGCAATATTTATATTTAGAATAAGAAAGCATAGTGAGCCCTTCTTTACGGATGTTGAATGTTATGTGCTACACAGTTAGAAATCTAGAGGTAAGCATCAAATCTCCAACAACCTCAATTTCATTTCTGTGATTATTCTATAGTGTCGTTAGGAGAGGAGGAATAAATAGTGAAAGGAAAACAAAACCAAACCAGGCTTTGGAAGCAGACAGACCCGGATTTGAATGCCAACTTTAAAACGCTATTAGTTGTGTAAAAGGCAAGTGGTTTCCTTTCCTTTATCTCAGTTTTCTGATCTATTAAATGGGATAATAATACCTAATGCATAGGGGTTGTGGGAGATATCGAATACAAATAATGATAATAAGCACATAAATAATCATTATTATTACCAAAAATATCTCTAGGGAGAATGTGTACTGATTGTAAGTGCTTGTGAAATGAGAGGCTAAGCAAGGTGTGGCAGAGAAGATAGTTTCTGAAGAGGCTGTTCCCTAAATTAATCCTTCACATGACTAAGAATAACTAAGATATTCTCAGACTTTAGAATTTCAAAAATTTCCCCCAAATTTTGGGGACAGATCTAGAGGGGAAAAAGACTTCAAGAGCCTTATAATAGCCAAGACAAGCTTGAAGAGAAATAGGGCTGGAGATATTTTATTATTCTATATTAAGGTCAATTATAAAGGTATAGTAATTAAGATTGTGTGATTCTGGACTAGAAAGTTCAGAAATGTACCCACACGCATTTGGTCACTTGACTTATAAAAAACATGCTAATCCAGAGACTATGAAGAAAACAGAGGAGGAGTAAGAAAGAGGCCTGAGGAGATCAAGAAAGGATGAAGATCTCAGAATCAAGGGGACAAAAGAACTCCAGGGAGCAGGTGGAGATCAGCAATGTCAAGTGCAGCTGGTGTCTGTTAAACTGAAAAGTTACTCCGGAGTTGACTTTCAAGTGATTGTTGTAACCCAAGTGTGAGCTTTTCCAGCAAAGTGGACAGGAACCAGATAGGAGTGGTTTATGGAGCGAGTAAAAGGGATGGGCCGGAGGCAGGAGGTGTAAGGTGCACCTGCAAGAACTCTGGGTGACAGGGAGGCAAGGCGTTCACAGCAGGTGCAAGTGCCTGGAGTTTCTTATTTATTTATCAAGGACAGTAGAGGCTTGGGGGTGTTTATATGTCGAGGACACAGTGAACGTTGAGACACAGAAAGGGGAACATGCGTGCCATGAAGATATATGATATCGCAGCCTGGAGGAAATTCAGTGTCTTCCAGAGGAGAAAGGAGAATGAGGGTCAAGAATAACACATGGATAAGCTGTATTTTATGAATCGTTAAATGTCTCCAGAAATGATCATATTAACATTTCAGTTGAAACAGCTTCAATTCTTGGACATCCTCAGTTATAACTCAAAGGCATTTTAGCTGCTTAAAAATATATTTTGGAATATTTCAGGCATAAAAAGGGCTATAAAAAGTGATGTAAAGAACTTGTGAGCCTTCTACCTAAAGAAATGGAACATTATCGATACAATTAAAGACCCCTATGTGCCCCTTTTCTGATCATAATTCTGTCTCTCCTCACTCTGCCTGCAAAAAATCTCCATCCTGAGTTTGGTATTTATTTATTTCTGATCATTTCTTTATACTTATAATACATTTGAATTCATCTCTGAGTGATATTTATTGTATTACACATTTGTACATTTTAAATAAATGACATTGGTCTGCGGCCATACACCCTGAATGCGCCCGATCTCATCTAAATAAATGACACTGTACCATGTGCTTTCTTTAACTTGGTTTTATCCCTCAATATTTTTGCAAGATTTATGTGTGTTGACGTATGTTCATTAACTTGTAGTGATGCATGGTATTCTAGTATGTGGACATATCATAACTTATCTTCTTTCATATTGATGAATATTTCCAGTATTTTCCAATTATAAACACTAACATCATGAATATTCTTGTACATATTATCTTGTACACATGGCAAGAAATTATTGATGGTCTGTACATACCTAAAGGTAAGATTGCTGGGTTGTTGGGAAATGAACTCACTCAACTTTAGTGTGTATTCACAAAATGTTCTCCAGTGTGGGTGCCACGGTTGATAAATTTTGGGGACGTTTTAGTTATTATCTCTTCAAATATTTCCTCTGTCTTAGCCTTTTCTTTCTGGAACTCCAATTATATACTTACTAGAACTTCTTGTTCCCTCTATGTCTCTTTATTTCTCTTTCATAGTTTGTAGCTCTGGATATCTGAGCTGGATTTTAGATAATTTCTTCATTTCTACTTTTCCATTCAACTGATTCCGCTAATTCTCACTTTATCGCATCTTATTTTAAAACTACACAAATATAAATGTATAGATTTTAAATATATAGATGTATAAAATATGTCCTACATACAGAACTGCTGGATTGCATCAAGAAATCTTTATATTTTCAGGATATTAATTATTTATTAGTTATATGTTATATAATATCTTCTCCTAGTCTGTGACTTGTCCTTTTTTTTAACGGTTGCTTTAAATTTTTTTAAAATGTTTTTATTTCTTTCTGAGAGAGAGACACACACGCAGCATGAGCAGGGGAGGGTCAGAGAGAGAGGGAGACACAGAATCCAAAGCAGGCTCCAGGCTCTGAGCTAGTTATCAGCACAGAGCCCAACATGGGGCTCGAACCCACAAACTGCAAGATCATGACCTGAGCCAAAGTCAGATACTTAACCAACTGAGCCACAGGCACCATTGCTCCTTTATAGTTCTGTAGAATGGACTTAAGTATCTGAGTCGTGGGTGAGATTATATGTGCGAGTCAATTCTTAACAATTCATTCAATTTACTTGTTACAGTACTATGAAGATTTTCTATTTTTCTTGAGTCAGTTTTGGTATGTAATATTTTTCCATTTGCCTAAGTTTTTAAACATAAAGTTATATAATTATTCACACTATTCTCTTAATATTTTAAAACATATTCTATATTTGTAGTTATAAATGATTTTTAAATCATAATTTTTTTTTCTTTTTAAAAAATCAATCTAGTAAAAAAATAAGCTTTATGATTTTCAAAAACATCAACTTTGGCCTTTATTCTTTGTGTACATTTGGTTATTTTTTGTATTTTCTTAAGACGCTTAGCACACTAATTTCTATTCTTTCTGATTTCCCCATATAAATAGTTAAGGCTACAAAATCCCCACTAATATCATCTTTGTTCATTATACATATTTGATATGTACTATTTTATTATCCTTCAAATTGATGTATTTTCCAGTTTCTAACTTGATTTGTTTTTTGATTTTTATTTATTTTTATTTATTTTTAATTTTTTAATGTTTATTTTTTAAAGAGAGAGGGAGGGAGGGGGAGAGAGAGAGAGAGAGAGAGACAGAGCAGGGAAAGGCAGAAAGAGAGGGAGACACAGAATCTGAAGCAGGCTCCAAGCTCTGAGCTGCCAGCACAGAGCCTGATGTGGGGCTCAAACTCACGAGCTGTGAGATCATGTCCTATGCTGAAGTCAGATGTTTAACTGACTCAGCCACCCAGACACCCTGATCGGAGGATCTTTTAGAAGTATGTTTTAAGATCTTCAAGAGGCGCCTGGGTGGCTCAGTTGGTTGAGTGTCCGACTTCGGCTCAGGTAATGATCTCACAGTCTGTGGGTTGGAGCCCCGCATCAGGCTCTGTGCTGACAGCTAGCTCAGAGCCTGGAGCCTGCTTCAGATTCTGTGTCTCCCTCTCTCTCTGATCCACCCCTGCTCACGCTGTCTCTCTCTCTCTCTCTCTCTCTCTTTCTCGGAAATAAATAAAACATTAAAAATTTTTTTAAAAAACTTCAAATACGTGTTTTTAATGTTATTTTAAAGAAATGTGTAATTCCACTTTAGTCAGAAAAGATAGTGTCTATGATATGACAGCTTTCCCACTTACAGAGACTTGCCTAATGGCTTAATAACACACATTCAATTTTCATAAGTGTTCCGTGTGTGCTTGAACACAATGTGTATTTGCCAATTGTTGGATTTAGAGTCCTATGTATAGCCCCTGGGATAAATGTGTTAATTATGTCATTCAGATCTTCTGTTTCTAGCTAATTTTTTTGCCTGCTTGATCTATCATTTTTGGAGGGAATTGCATTAAAATTTTCCACTGGGTAGGTGGATTTTGCTATTTTATTTTTGTAGTTCTATCAATTTTCCTTTATATGTTGAAATTATGTTGGTAGATATGGAAAAAGGTAGGATTGTTATTTTTTTACAGTGAATGAGAACTTATCAATATTTAACATATTCTTAATCTTCATAATGTTTTACATTAACGTGTATTTTGCTTGATATTAATGTAGCTATATTAGCTTTCTTTCTATTAGTATTTGCATGAAATGTCTTTCTTCATCCTTTTACTGTTGAGATTTATGTATCCTTACTTTAGGATGTATCTTTTGTAAAAGTATAAACTGAATGTTCTAAGACCCATTTTAATAATCTCTGTCCTTTAGTTGGTAGGTTTTCAGCCCACCTACATTTATTTATTTATTTATTTATTTATTTATTTATTTATTTTAGTGAATTTCTTAATATTTATTGAGTACCTGCTATAGACCAAGCAGGAGGAACAGAAACAAACTGTCTGGAGTTACTTTTTTAACTCCTGAGTCCTCATCATAAAACAAAACAAAACATTCTGCTGGTTTAGTATCCATTCAGTCTTTGATTAATCGTCATGTACAGTTTTCTCAAGTGTACTTTCAAATATTGCATAATGCCGTAGACCATTAAATATTCCAAAGGCCGTCTGAAAGACCAGAGGAATCATCATTGCTTTTATTTCTGTTTGACAAAGCAGGAACCAGTAAAGTAAAACCCTTCCTTTTGGTGGCAATGGAACAGTATGATACTTGACTGCCAGGCGTCCAGTTTTAGAAAAAGCCAAACCAGTGGGATATAAAACACCACATACTATGCCAATCAGTGAACTCCTCAGAACACAATTTTCCCGACTTATATTGCCTTGAAGCAGTGTCTGAAAATGAAGTTTGCCAACATTCCAGAGAAACTAGCTGCTGTTCCAAAGAACACTGTGCCATATACATTTAAAGTCTTTTCTTTTCTAAGATATTCAATTTTTTTTCCTATGATTTCAATGACCATGGGTCTTCTGAATTTTTCATCTCCTAGAGAAAGACTGGGCTGACCGTGTGTGTATGTTGCCATTCTGATGTCCTTGGACGCTTCCCCAGCTTTGACCGGCAACACACCTGCATCGTTCAGGTCAGCCCCAGCCTCACACCCCTCAGCCCACCTACATTTATTATGATTACTTACCCATTGGAATTTGTTTCTACCATCTTATTACATGTTTTCTATTTGTTCTACTTTTTCAATTCTTTTGTTTTTCTCATTCTTTTAGATTGGTCATTTTTCTTAATTCAACTTTTTCCCTTTACACTAATTTGGAAGTTTTACATTCCGTTTCAATGATCATAGACACTAATTTTAAACTTTTAACAAGTATATTAATTTGGCAAAATCTACCTATAAGGATCTCTCATGTTGTCTTACATATTATGATATGCCACGAATTTAATTTTATCCTCAGACATTTATTTACTCAATCAGCAATGATTTATTGAGTGCCTGCTATGTGCCAGCACTATGCTAATAGCATGGGACACATGAGTAAGCGAAATTTTCCAAAATATATATAATATAGTAAGGAAAATTTTCCAAAATAAGGATTCTTACTCAACACCCTTATGAGGGCAGACTTATAGTTAAGATTCTAAGGAAACTTTTTTGTGTTTCTCCTCTCTCTCCGCCCCCGCCCCCACCCGCAAGACCCAAGGTCCAGACAGAAATCGAAAAATTCCTTTGTGATTTATTTTTGTAGATAAGTTGTTAGAAATAGAAGTTGAAAGAGATCAAACTGCATATACGTACACACATTTATAAATCTGTATACATACATACCTGCATATGTATATACAAACACAAATGTCAAAATATATTCTGACATGGTTTAAAGATTCCTGTTATTTCATAGAGTTTCTTGCCAAACATTAAAGAAAAAAAGGAAAAAAGAAAACAAGCATATCGTTTCTCTTATTTTCCCTCTTCAGTTCAGTCATTTTCCTCTCTTTTAGCTACTTCTTTTGGGAATTACCTTCATATTTCTAAATAACATGTTTATATTACTCCTTCTAGACTTTTCATTTTAATAATTACACCTAAATCTCTAAGACTGACAGATGAGGCCGCACTGTCTCTCACTTCACCTCCTCCATTATCCCATTCACTCCTCTCGTCCTCACAAGATTAATTCCAGGAAAGACAGAAAGTTGTTCATTTGGCATAGTTATATCCTTATATAGGCCTATACGATCTATATTGTGCACTAGCCATTTTATAACTATACAGATTCTACTTATAAGTGAATCAAGCAACTTTAAAATCCTCCCCAACTCCCCCTTCCTGAACTAGTTCTGTTTATCTTCCCTGGAAATAACTAGAGTGTTGAGTTTTTATTTGCATAGATTCCCTTTGCATTTATCATTGACTCAACCCTAAATTTTTCACCATTGTTGAGCTCATCTCTCAAGACATTCAGGTGCAACAAACATTCTATCAATTGCATCTTCTTAAAGAAACATGGCTTACAGCCTTCCAATGTGCTCTGGGCTGGACTGGCGGCCATCTGTGTCTGAAGCACTGTCTCATCCTGGGCTGTCCCTACACCCTCATCCCAGGGATTGTCTCTGTTTCTCTCCTGTGCTGAAGTCCCTGTTTCCTGTGTCCTGTCTGCCTCTTTTTCAGCTTCCACCCTCATTTGTGACAAGTGCATCCTTCACCAGCTTTCTGAGAATCAATGTACTGGATAGAGGCAAACCTTTCCGTATCTTCTACGTTTGAAATCGTCTTTACTCTCACACTGAGTTTACCTAAGAATAGTATTATTGATTGTAAGTTGATTCCTTTTATAATTTTAAAGGCATTACTCCATTGTCATTTAGGTCCTAGCATTCATATTCCAATTCTCGATCTTTGGATGTGGTATATTCTTTTCTTTCTAGAAATTTGTAGGGTATTTTCTTTGTTCCTTAGTGTTCTGAGAAGCCATGATGTGCCTTGGTGTGGGTTATGTTCATCTATAATGTTGGGTGATCAATACATCTCTTTTCTCTGAAATCATATATCTTCCCATTTGGGAAAAATATCTTGAATTATAATGCTGTTTGGATTTTGGACTTTCTGAACCAGTCTTCCAGCATTAACTTATTAATAGTATTTTCTATCATGTATTTTTACTCTATGGTGATTTTTAGCTCTTTTATCACATTTTAAATTTCTGCTAGAATGTTGTTTGTTTCCAGACTGCTTTTTAGTTCGTTTACTCAGTGTTGTTTCTTGTCTTTTTCCCTGTGTTTGGCTTTCTATTTTTGTTTTATGGACATAATGTCTTCTCTTATCTCTCTGAGGATATTTGTAATTGTACCTTTTTTAAAAAAAATTCTTCTTCCTGTATGGTCTCCATTTCCTCCAAGTTGTTTTCTTTTTCCTATTTGTTTATTTGTTTTTTGTTTTGGTCTATGTGTCTCATGATAGAGTCTTTCTTTGCTCTCTGATGACCCTTGAGTATCTACTTATCTTTACAAATGGAATATTAACAAGCTGATTGGAAGCTCTGGGAAAGGGGGTTTGGCTTGTCAGCTGTGGTCTCCACAGTGGGGGTGTTCTGGCTGGGTTGTAGCTTTGGAGGACCCCTGGCATCAGTTGCTTTCCTGTTGTGCTTGCCAGAGGCCCCAGAAGGTTTTCCTCTGTCTTCCCTGGAGTGTTTAGTCCTAGGTACTTGTAACCTGGGAACTAGTGGGAGATGAGGCCGGGGAACCCCAGCTTTCAGTTTGTGCCCTTATTATCAGAATGATGCACCTGTCTGAAACAAGGGCTGGTGCTTGACTGTCTAGAGACTTTGTGTTTCATATCCATCAGCCACTAACTCTCATCATCTTGCTGCAGTTTGGAAAACACCATCACCTATAGTATGGTGGGATGGGACAAATGGGGTCAGAGTGGAAATTTGGGGACCTTGATCTTCAAACAAACTGACCTTCAATCAATCATTTCATTTTTACTATCAAATTTATCCCCATACCCTATAGATTCATTATACCAATTGTGAGTTTGGGGAAATCTTGCAGTAAAAATTCTGCTGTTTCTTAGCTTTCTGTACTGTAACCTTAGAATTAAGTGCTCTCAGTATCTTCTGAGTCAGTGACCACTCTTCCATAGGTTTTCAGGCTTCCAATATTTTTCCGTCACTGATTCTCTCCAGCACTCTTTGTTCTTGCGGTTTGTTCATTAAAAAATCTCTTCACTCTAGTTTTAGTGGGGCTGCAGAAAGGGTAGCAGTAAATGATGTGTTTCTTCTCCATTTATATTCAGAAGTAGAGTGCATTTTTCTCATCCTCCCTTCACCAAGCAAGTAGCTTTTATGTTTCCACCAATAGTGTTCCCCGGAAGTTTTGGTTCCAGGTTCAATGTTGAGTGGGCTTTATTTCTCCTCCTTCTTATGGCCCTTTAAACCAAAACCTCCACTTGACCAGTTGGCAAAAACTCCTCCAAGCAGCTTGGCATGAGCACAGATTTACAATGGTTTTCCTATTCCTTTAAGGATTTCTCTTTATATCTTATGAGCTCAGCTTTGCATTTAAAAGGATATCAATTAGGGGCACTTGAGTGGCTCAGTCGGTTAAGCGTCAGTCTTCAGGCTCAGGTCATGATCTCAGGGTTCCTGAGTTGGAGCCCTGCGTCAGGGCTCTGTGCTGACAGCTCAGAGCCTGGAGCCTGCTTTGAATTCTGTGTCTCCCCCTCTCTCTTCCCCTCCCCTTCTCGTGCTGTCTCTCTCTCAAAAATAAATAAACATTAAAAAATTAAAATAAAATAAAAGGATGTCAATTCTATTTTATTTTGTTTTACAGCAGGAAATTTCAGGATATTTGGTCTCCCTATGATTAAAAATCTAAAAATCCTTTAGATTTTTTTAGTCTCTCAAGACTGGCCAATGGTTACTCAAGCAGATAATGTCATAGTCATTCATTCAGTTAACAAACATTGGTCGATCCCACACCCTGTGCTCAGAGCTATGCTGGCAGCTACAGGTGGCTATGTCCCTGCTGTACATGCACCCGAGAGAACTGGAGAATGGAACAGAACAAAGCAGTTTTGCACAGTGTCTCGAACTGAGCACAAGCACTGAGCACAGCTGATCTGCCGAGCTAGGAGGTTTGAACGAACCACAGTCATGTACAAAAGAGGGCAGGCTAACGGAATTATGGCAACTGTTCAAGGAGGCTGGGTGACGTAGCAGGATATCGATCACCGATCATTGGTCACTGCAAAGAGACATTTCAGTCTGACGCAAAAAGAAATGAGGTTGTTTCCTCAGCCAGAAGCTGGAATGATTAAACAGTGCTTCGCCAGAAAATTCTGAGACCTTTGTGCTAAGCACTGAGTCAGGGAGAGAGAAAGAGAGAGAGATCACTAGAGAGAGAGAAACCAGTGAGGAGTCACAGCAGTCCACGGAGTTGAGGATGGCTTCCACATTCCATTTTATTTTTCTTTTTTGAAGAAAAAAGAGTTTATAAAGATCTAAAAAATTTTAAATGTATTTTTTTTTAATTTTGATTTAGGATTCCAACTTTATTTCAACATCACAGGACTACTTTGAAGTTCTGTTGTGGAACATTATCTAGAGTCATCTGTTTGCCAAATATCTCTAAGTGACATAAAAATATTAAGTTGTTTGTAGTTTAAAAGGCCTTTCTAGATATGAAAACTTTAAAACAGATTTATTCATAACACGGTCTAATTGTGCTTTCACTCCGTGACCTCAGGCATCCTGTGTTGTACAAATCCAATATATCCCTGAAAATACTTTGGATATTGAAATTCCAAATAGCTTGAACCCATATTTTCTTATTTTAAGTGAGAAGAATAAAAAAAAATTTCTTAAAGCCCCTATCAATTTTCCCATATATCACTAAATCATTCTTAGGAATCTATGTAATAATCCAGGGAAGATTTCTAAAAGATATGGTGCATTTAAAACATCAGTTGCATTTGGGGTGCCTGGGTGGCTCAGTCGGTTAAGTGTCCAGCTTCGGCTCAGGCATGATCTCACGGCTCCTGGGTTCGAGCCCTGCGTCAGGCTCTGTACTGACAGCTCAGAACCTGGAGCCTGCTTCAGATTGTGTGTCTTCCTCTCTCTCTGCCCTACCCCACTCATGCTC